AATGAAGTATTTTATAAAACTATTTTAAATAAATAAATAACACGATTTTATTGATAAATTTTAATTTGAAAAAAAAAAATTTTTTTTTTTTTTTTTTTTTGGGGGGGGGGGGGGAATATTATCTGGGGGGATTTTTTCTCGAGGGATTTTTTTCTTGGGCGGTGGAATTTTTTTCTTATTGCAGGATGGGGGGAGTTTTTTGACGAATTTTTTCCTGCTACCAATAATTTTGTAATCTTAATGCAATTGATGCAATTTCCTGGTTGCAAAATAACTATAGTTATTACATAATTAATTAAGCTAATTTCCAAATTCCTAAAAAATATTTTTTTCTATAACTTGAATTTTTTGATATTTAGAAATTCTTCCTGATGAGCCTCTTAATGGCGAAACAACTTGTTGAAGAAAATTAGCTAAGAGTTTTTACTAATTTATATATATGCATATATTGTCCCCTCAGTATTATCTTGTTCTATCTACAAATGTGACAAATAAATTGTTCTATCTAATATGTAAAATAGATACAAAAAAAATTACATATGAATAAATACAATGTTCAATATAATATAATATAATATATTATATCAGGTAGAATATTGTATGTATATATATATATATATATATATATATATATATATATATATATATATATATATATATATATATATATATATATATATATATATATATATATATATATATATATATATATAAATATATATATATATATATATATATACTATATTTAATTTATATATTAGATAAAACATTTTATTTATTACATTTATAGATAGAACAAGATAATACTGACGGGAGGATATATATATATATATTATATATACAAGGCCGGCGCGATAGGGGGTGTGACACCTTATCCTTCCCCCCCCCCCCCATCAATGATTTTTAGTCGGCAAATTAGACTAGTTAGTCGGCAAATGTCGACACTTTTGTTATAGGTTAGTCGGTAACCTAAACAGTCGTCAAATGTCGTCATGGCAGTCGGCAAATTTTGGAAAATGAGGACTTTTTTTTTTTAGTCGGCAAAATGTAACGGCACCCCCTCCCCCCTACGTGACACCTACTCGCGCCGGCCCTGTATACCCCCCATATACACACTGGCGTAGGAAGGTTTTTAAATGTTTGAAATAACCATCTTTTTAAACAAAGATATATTCCGAACTTTTTTACGTTTATATGTATGACGAAAAGTAAAATATTTTAGTATTCGAAAATTATGACCATATAAAGTCTAAACCCCCCTCAATTTGAGGGGGTTGCAAATTTTATATGATCATAATTTTTGAACACTAAAATATTTTACTATGAAGTTAAAAAACTTATCGATAAATATACGTTAGTTAAAAATACAAAAACTATTTTATCGACTTGCTCTCACGTTTTGGGCAGGAAGGGAGCTAAGATTTTAGGGTTTATTGTTCCCATTCTCCTATCACAGTAATTTTTTTTTGCGAAGAATCTTTTCGTCATCCGTAAAAAAATTTGGAGTATCCTTTTTGTTTAAAAGTTGGTTATTTCAAACACTTAAAAACTATCTTACGCCACTGTATATATAAGTATATATAAATGATCATATATTAAACAAGGGTACTCAGCTTAGCGCGGTCAAACCAATTTTTTCGGTAGAAATTTGACAGATGAAAAACGATCATTGAAGAAAGCGATCGGCATTTTTATGGATTCGACCTCCTTCCCCCTCATTTTATTCCGCTGCTTGTTAATCAATTATACTTTCTGAATAATTGCAACTCAGTTAAAGAAAATAGTTATATCTTATCTTTTTTTAATGACTTTTTTCAATTCAGTTTATTTCTACATAGTAAACAAGTTAAGTAAGATTTGTAGCGAATTTGTTTTCAAACTTTACAGAAATAACCATAAAAGCCAAATAAATTAAATCCAGAAAGTGTTTTTTTTTTTTTTTTCCTACACTTTACAATAAATCTAAAAGATTTTTTTTTTTTAAATAAACTTCGACAAAATACTTTAAGCAAAAACTCCTTCTTTGAAGCGTGTTTTAAAAATATATTTGAGCTTAAAAAATTTTACGAACAGGTGTAGTTTTTGTTTAACTTTAGTTTTGGCGAGCATAGTAATAGTGCGACTAACCGAACGAAAATAGAAAGTAAGTTTTTAAATATTTTTAAATACAAATATTACAGTAACTTGTTATTATTTAAAATAATATTATTGTTCAATAATATTATTTTAAATGATTTTTAAAATAATATTATTTAATATGTTGTAGTTAAATAACGGATTTTTTATTTAAACAATCTAGTAAAGAAAAAGATTTCAAAATTTTGTTTTTAAACAATTATATTTTGTTTTTTTAATTGTCTGTGTCTTATAAATAATCGAAAAGTTTATAGCTTTTAAGCAAAATAAAAACAAGATTTTTTTTATTTTTTTGCATGTTTACGTATTTGTGCTTGCATATATTTTCAGGAGAGTAATTTCTTTAAAGTCGGTTACAGTTTCTTAGAGTTTTTTAAAAAACTGTGACCAACTTCTTAATAACAAGTTCATGTAATCGAATGAATGATTAAAGAATCATAACTTCTTGAAAAGTTATCTGCATGAAGTTTTCGCCATTGTGTAATCAATTTTAAGTTCATTCCTATGATATACAACATTGTAATATTTAAACAATTTTAACACACACTAACTAGTTACTTAAAAATATAAACTATTAAAAATGCAATAAACTGTTTTTCTAGTAAAATTTTATTATTACCATTTGCTTAAAAGTTATTGCTAAAACAAAGGTCTTTTGACAAAATGGTTGGGCTTTTGTGGCAAAAACGAGTTCTGACGTCTCGTAAAGACGCAGTACCTAAAGTTTACTTTACTAAGCGCACATCACATGTTGTTGTGATTTTATTAAATTGCAAATCAAAGTTAAAAAGTTAAAATAAATTTTTCTTATTTATTTTTAATTTTTGATGGTACTACCAACTCAGAGCGTAAAGCAGTACCAGGTTGTTTTGCAGTTCTGCACTAAGAACTTATTTTTTTTATAAAATAAATAACTGCAGTTATATATTTTATAAATGCATAAATTTTTTTTAGAAAAACCTTTTTATAAAAAATCGCTGATTTTTTATCTCATTCATAGCAGAACACCTGTTCCATAAACAAACCGACACCTAAAACCACAGAAAAACTCAACAATAATAAAAAACGACGCATTTTATTTGCCAAGTATTATTATTACCTAAGAATAAATGACAAAAGAAAGAAAGAAAAAAAAAAGCAAACAAATGATAAATAAAAACTTTTGAAATGATTTGGCAATGGCGCGGCGTAGTTATTCCAAACAAAACATTTAACAAAAGAACATTTTACGAAAGTTAATTAAGGTTAATAAAAGTTAAAAATATAAAAATTAACACAAATAATATAAATAGAATAAGTGAAAAACTTTAACAAGCGCATTAATTTAGATTAAAAATTAATCTAATTTAAGTTTAAATTTAATCGCGTTTAAATTAGATTAACATATTAATCTAAATTAAACTAAATTAAAATCTAAACTAAGGCAAATCTACTTTTCAATCAAATCTACTTTTCAAATTAAATTTACTTTTCAATGTCAATAAAATTTTAATTTTACAAAGTTTTAAAAATTAGCCATTTAATAAGAAATATTGTTACAAAAGCATCCAAAGTCAAACTTGATGGAGTCAGAAAAAAGTTTAAAACATTTCTTCCGTTTTGCAAAAAAAAAAAAAATAAAGTTCATTATGTCCTTAATTAACTGAAGAAAAAATAGACTGTCTGGAAAAAAGATATTCAGATTTAAAAATGTCTTTTTCTACTAAAAATGCACTTTGGTAAACTTATTATGCGCTAAATATATAATCATTAGCTAGAAAATCAGACAATAAATTAATCGTGTACTTAAATATACCATGTGAAAGATTGTTTATGTACTAAGTTTCATTTCGATTAAATATATCACTCATTAAATATTACTATTTAATGACAAAAAAGTTCCGACTTTCAATTTTTCTAGTTTTCATAAACTCAGTAGTATATATAAAAACTAGTAAAATCCAAATCACGGAGTACCATTTTTTTATGATGATTTGACATGAAATAGCCCATACTCAAATTTCCTGCAACAGTCCATTAAATAATAGCACGGAAGAGAATTACATCAAGTTCTCCTGTTCCCGTAAGTTTGAATGAAGAAATGCAAAATCACTAAAAGATTTTTTTTACATTATGCTCGCAAGGCTTCAAGGGAAGTCAATCTGTTTGATGTATTACACGTCCAATGAACTCATCAGTTCCAATTATTATTTTAATTTAGGTTAAATTAAAATTAATGCGAGGGAAAAGTTTTGATCTCCTTTGTTTTGTCCATTACACCTTTTTGTGTTTAAGTTGGCCAATTTTCACTTTAACTTGGCATTTTATCATTTTATTTTGGCAATTTTCACTATAATTTGTAAATTGAAAATTAAAATGAAAAAATGCGAAAGTAAAGTTTGAAAAAATGTCGCAAAGTATTTAAAAAAACGTTTTTTTGTGTGTTGCAAAGTATAAAAAAATAGAAAAAGCGAGAAAAATGTTTGTAAAGATTGCATAATAAAAAAAGTTATAAAATTGTTATTATTCTAAAAATCATCAACAAAATATAATGTCCATTCTTGATATTTTTTGTCGACAAACCTTTTTTTTATAACTTTTACCAACTTTAGTTGGTATAAGGTATCAGCAGAAAATTTTATTCTGATGACACCTGCTGTGGAAGTCCTTTTTTTCTTATGTTCATAATCAAATAAAAACCTTTTTGCACTTGAAAAACTTTAAGCAGATAACTTTTTAAAAAATTATGATTTTTTAATCATTCATTTGATAACATGAACTTGTTGTTAAGAAGTTGGTCACAGTTTTCTAAAAAATCTCAAGAAACTGTAACCGACTTTGAAGAAATCGCTCTCCTGAAAATATATGCAAGCACAAATACGTATACATGCAAAAATAAAAAAAATTTGTTTTTATTTTGCTCAAAATCTATAAACTTTTTGATTATTTACAAGACACAGACAATAAGAGAAACAAAATATAAGTTTTTCGTTGTTGTTTTTGGTTCTGAAGAAACTGGCTTATATTTAAGTTATCTAATTGTGCCACAAGTCATTGTTTGTTTAAAAGATGCAAACAAACTTGTAATAAAAATAATTTTTAAGCTAGCATACAAATATAATCAAAAAATGTTGTATTATTTAGGCTTGGTCAGGAAGCGGGTGCGATCGCACTCGATAACTGACCACGGAAATAGTATTTAATTGCGAAAAACCGGCCAGATTTTTTAGTCGTTTTGAGAACATTTAAATTTATATATGTTTCCTTAATTAAGTTCATTATTTTATCGTAAATTTTAAAATATTTTGTTTTACGGACATACATGTAAACATGCATAAACTCGAATGTTCTCAAACATCTTAGTGCGGAAAATAAAAAAAGAATATTTGCGAACACAAAAAACCCGCCAAATCTAATTCTATTGGTTAAAAAAATACTAACCAAAATTCTAGAGTATTCCGTTGAAATATTTTAAATAATTGTATTATTTGAATTTTGTTATGTTTTCGTTGAGATTTCTAACATAAATTGTTTTAAGAATATACTATCAAACGAACTATTATTTTAATTCTCGGAGCCACATCTACAAAGCTATAAATGTTTTAAACTAACATTATTTGTTTACAAAAATAAAAGTTTTAAATTTAACTTTTTTAATTTGTCAACGTTTTCTAAATATATTATAGATTTTATCAGTATATTCTTATTTTTATATAATGGATGTATTTTTTATGTAATGTATTTTTATGAATGTGTTTTTTGCGCATTTAATTTTATGTATGTGTATTTTATTCAAATGTAATCTTTTAAAGCAATTTGTGTGATTGATTTTGTAAACAAAAATACTTTCAATATTAACTGCGTTTTTAATGAAATTATTAATAATATTCAAAGTTAATACAAATAATTATCCACTTATTAATTAAACCACTTATCAATTTTCCTCAGTGCACACGATAACTGATTCTTTCCCCCAAGAAAGAAAAGTCTTAGAAATTGGTCTACTAACTTCAATTATTTTTGCTTCAGCCATTCTTACAAACTCGTTATACTTAAACTTTAAGTTACTTTTTTATTAAAATTATAAAACCCACTCATTAAACATCTTCAGCGTTATTGTGAAGCAGTTCCGCTTCTTTCTCACTTAGTAATTTAACGTTTTTAGTTAATTTCAATTTAGCTTATTGAATTTCTACAGTAACTCAATGATTTAATTATTTTATTTGCTCATCTTACTAAGAAAAATTGTTTCAAATGTGTTGAACTTTTTAAACTACGTGAAGCATAAAACAGTAATCGAAAAAACTTTTTTATTTATAAATAAATCATCTAGCGTTAGTTTTATTGGTTGAGTCTTGTTGGACTTTTCAGGGCCGGGGACTGCATTATTTTGGCGGCCTTTTTCATGTGCCACAGCGTAAAAATGATTTAAAAAAATGAATGGACCGAATGGACCTCTTGACTATTTCGCGGCCCCCAACATTGCGAGACTCGAGGCTATAGCCCTTCTACTTCCTCCTCCCCCCCCCCCCTACCTCCTCAATCCAGCACTGGAAATAAGACATAAGTATATAAACAAAAAATTATATATACTCTTTGATAAATCGAAGAACATTTGTTTCCTAATTAAACAATCATTAATAGTAAGTTGTTGCTTTATACAAAAAATGTCACTTAATTTTATAAAAAAAAGAACGACGTTTCAAAAATATTTGCTCTAATCGTGTTTATTTTGCTTAAAGTTTTTTCGCCTTTTTTTTAAACTCTTTTTTGAAGTCTCTCATCGGTCCAGTTAATCTTATTGCACTTTTTTGTTTGTTTTTGAAATGTTCTCAAAACGACTCAAAAATCTGGCCAGCTTTTCGCAACTAAATATTATTTCCGTGGTCAATTATCGAGTGCGATCGCACCCGCTTCCCTACCAAGCCTGATTATTAGTAAATTTTAAACTTATCCTAAAGTTTTTTTGAGCACTGGCAAAATATTAGGCAAACAGGATGTTTTTAGGGCTAAAATTTTCTCTACAAACCTAACTTTAAAGTTAAAAAACCCATAAACAAATTTGTTGCTATGGTGGTTGCTAGGGAAGTTTGAAAAACTATAGTGCACTAAAATATAACTATATAATATATAACTATATAATATAACTAAAATTATTATAAATTATTATAAAATATAACTATATAATATATAACTATAGTGCACTAAAATATAATTACTTAAAAAGCTAAACTTATTTACAACTGTTTTTAATAGCTAATCTCTGTTAATTTTATCATTAAAATCGACTAAAAGTTTTTATGGGGATCTGTTACCTTAAGATATTAGGACATTACTTAAGATATTAAGATATTTAAAAGCGAAGTTTAAATAATATATATTAATATTACTTAAATATTACTGGTGCGTCGACTTAGTACCATTGAGTAACCGTGTTTCTTAATTTTTCTTAAATTTCAACCTTGTGTTTCTCTTAAATCTTTTTATATATAAAAAAAAAGTGTGCATTTGATTAGTAAAGGAAAATAAAAACTTGATAGGAAAGAAAGTAAATTTTGATACTGAGACTTTTCTCGGTATCAATATTTTTTTCATATTATACACTTAGCATAAAGATACGATGTTTTAATATGTTTTTTTTTTTACCAGAATACACTTTGAATAAAGTTATAATGAACAGGAGTTTAGTAAAAATATATAACATTTTAGTAAAACGTGTAAAAAAAAGATTGTGCATAAAATAGCGCGCATAAAACAAAAATCTAAAGTTCATCCAGATGGTGAAACATAAGACGCAGAAAGTAGCGTTTAAGTGAGCTCATTGCTAGCCAAGAAGATTGCTATTTTATTAGGCTGGCGACAGTAGAATAGCCACACTGTCTCCAGCCACAAGTTAGCAAAATGTAAATTGAAAATGGATATAATTTATATCATATAAATTAAACCACGGCTGTTAAAGCAGATTTTAGCATCTAATTTTTACAATGCTGTTGAACATTTAACAAACCTATTTTCATGTCTGCGTTTAAATATCAATTCCTACTTTTCATTTAATAAACATTCATAATTCGCCAATGTAAGCTTTCAAATTATCTTGAAGGCATTATTTTTAAAACTTTCATTTCAAATAAGTATTATTAATACATGGTGTCTTTTGAATACTTTTTATGTTCAAAAGATTGCTTACTATTGGCAAAACGTTTTTTTTTTCCATTTACCTTCGGTAAAACCAGTATCATGTTTATCAGGTACATTCATAGATTAAACAAGTCATTTATATAAGAAGTGTGTATCCACCAACTTGTCAAGTGTGTATCCACTAAACGTCTCAAATGCTAATTTTGCCATTCATTTTTTGGTTGATAGTTGCATACTATCATCAGTTAAGTTGCCAAATTTCTGCCCGGCACCCTGCATTCATCACGTAGTTGTTAAAATTTTTTATAGCTAATTTATCTTTTTAAAGCTTTCTAACAAAAAAATTAGAGATGCATTTTACGCAATTTTAAAGAATACTTTTTTATTTTGGCCTTCAGCATTGATTAGATGAACCGTTTTTGTTAAATTTTAAAAGTTTCAGAACTGGATTTATAGGGCAAAGAAAAATCAAAACCGCATGAATTTTGAAAATCAGTCTATACAAAAAGCTAATTTATATTTTATTGTCCCATGCTTCTAAAAGTTTTGAGTTAGAATTTTGTGAATAAAAATATTGTAACTATTTTTTTCTTTTTTGTCGATCGCATTATTTAGATTTTGTTTTCTGCTTTAAAGGTTAGAAGAAAAAAAAAACATGGCAGAAAGACCGGCTGGATATGGACTAACTGCAGAGGTTAAAAATAAAATCAGCGAGAAGTATTGCTTAGAATTAGGTAAGTGATGCGCATAGCACGTCTTGTCAAAATTAATATTTTTTTTCTATTTAAATTTCTAATTTTTCTTTATTTTATTGGCATCATAATTGCCTTTAAAAGTTTGTAAGAAAATAATTTTTTAATTGCTATTCTTTTTACTTGAAACAACTTTTGCTTGCGTCATCTTTTCTATTTGGGCGTGCAAAAAACTCCACAATTTCCGCGCGTGTGAGGGGCAACAAGTTAATAAAAACTTTTCTGAACTATTTTTAATTGGAATTATATTTATCGATAATTTTTTAGTTTCATAGTATTTTCTTTTAGCGTTTAAATTTATGACCATACAAAATTTGTGACCCCCTCAAATTGAGGGGGTTTATATGGTCATAATTTTCGAACGCTGAGAGATAATACTACGAAACTTAAAATTTATCGATGAATATAAGTCTAACTGAGAATAGAGATAACAAAAACGATTTTATCAACTTGTTGCCCTTCACGTTTGGGGAGGAAGGGGTATTGGGATGAAGTCAAAGCGCTTTTTTGTTCCCAGCTAAATTCCCAAACAAATTTGTTAATATGTGGAGTTACCTAAGGATTATACTTTTCTTTGTTTTTTTAACCTTAGGAATGAAATATTCGCATAAATTATTAAATTAAACATTTGATCTGCGGTTTTATGTAGAAATACAATATTCCAGTTGATTGATGCGAGTTTTATACTGAATCGTAATCACCTTTGCTGTCTCGAAACAACTTAGATTCACTTTCGGGAAACGGTTTTGAAACTAAAATTCCTCAAGTGATACTAAAGCGGCCCTAAGTATTATTACCTAATATGGCATTAGGAAACACTTTTAAAATAGAATTGCTGTATGTAAATAACAAGTCCAACATATAACTTGAGCAACCATAGGGTGTCTAGACGTGATATGTTAAAATTACCGATAATGAAGCAGTCATCATAGGGCTACCTAATTAAACTATGAGCTAATTCAGCTATATATTATATTAAACTAGCATCATTTGTTCTATGCATAACCTAGATAATAATGTGTTTATTGATAACATTTACAGATACCAAAACTTGTTTAAAAAAGGTTTTACAGAAATAGTTAACTTCATGATGGATAAATACATCAGTATTAAAGGTAGCTACACTGCTACTTTAACATCCGTCTCAGCAATTTTTTTTTTCTAAAGTCAGTTATTGTTTTAATACAATAGCTTCAATAGTGAAGCTATTGAAGCTTTTGTATTACTTTGCTTTAAGCTATTGAAGCTTTTATATTACTTTGCTTTAAAACTTACGACATCATACTTATCACTTAACTGAATTGTATATTTATGAGTTAATGCAGTTTGTTTTAATTTTTTAGATATAATTAAAAAGATCACTATTTGAAGTAATGGTCAAGATTATAATTAAAGCTCAAAAAATAGTCTGAAAAAGGGTTTGTAGTTCTTACCTAATTTTTAGCTATATAATAATAGCAAGAATCGTTAATGTTGCTATGTTTATATACAAGCACATTATTTTTAAGAATGACAAATTTAAAAAAAAAAAATTGAAAAATTTTGCTTCTGCTCTTAAATATCAATAACTCTGGGCCCTCTCGCGGCTATTTTTTTTTGTTTTTCAAACTATTTGCTTTTTACAAAAAAAATTGTTTATATTAAATATAATTCTATATAAATAATATATTAATAAAATATAAATTTTGTTGTAATAAGATGCCTTAACTTGGGGAGGCTCTTGCACTAGTGATTAATGAATTCATCCATAAATTCTTTTTTGAAAGTGCCTGTCTAAAAAATTCAATGGTAATAGAAATTTATTGAACAATACGTAATATGTCATACCAAGTTTTAAAACGTCTTCAAAGTAAACTAAAAAAGTATCACTACTTAAGGATGACTTTTCAAAGTAGTTTTATTTCTATGAACAAATCTCTTAAAAAGCCTAAAAAAGCTAGAAAAGTTTTTTGGTTAAAAAATGGTGAAAGCTTCATATTTATTTTTAGCTTCATTATTCTCTTAGTATTTACGTTCTACCTTTTGTTTTAATTAAAATTATTTTAGCTGATATCTACGAGGCAAGATGGCGAACGATATTTAACATGAGCTTCTTGTAATACGCCACGAGCAGATGCACGGATTATATAAATGTCATTTCTAGCTTTAAGTTGCTTTATCCTTACCTATTTGTGTAGTATGACGTGTTTTTTGAAATCAAACTCACTAGTAAGAAACTTAAGGCAAAAGGATTAGATACAAATGACGCCATAAATCATCTGGAAAAAAAAAGTTTCTTGCAAAAAGCAGAATGTCTCAAAATTTAAGAAAGTGTTAAATGCAGCTAATATTGCATTCAGTTTAGAGTTTATCGCACTTTTTAAACCCGTATCAGAAAAAAGACTAAACAATTTATATATGAAGGAGATGACAAACTTTGTCATGAGCCAAATATTTTTTCCAATAAGTAATCTTCAAAAACGCCTTCCTTTCTGCTTAAAACTTGTTGAACTTTTATTGTATAACTAACTTATAGTTATAAAACTCATTGTTTTGCTCACTAGTTAACTGTCAAGTTTGGTACTTAAAACCAATACTTCTGCGTGTCCGCTGAGAGTGTGTAGCATGTTTTTTTTTTTTTACGCGTTTAAAGCTTGCTTGAAAGTTCACTACGCAATTTATGTTGTTAACCTTAAACGGTGTATAAATTTGAATTCTGAAAACAGAACTCAAAAATACTCAAATTTTCTGCCAATATAACTCAGATTTATTTTAAGCATGCCGATGTCTTGTCACTTAAAAGACATGCATTCTTTATATACAACTTATATTTATATCCATAGAACATTTTTTATATTCAACTTTTATTTATATAAAAAAAAATATATATTATAATCCAAATTTGTATACATATCCAAAAACTTATTATTATATCTAAAACAATATTACTTATATCCAAAGGAGTGTCTTATAATTTTGTTACTTTTTTAATTGTTAAACTAAACCAATAACAAAAAAAAAACTATAAATGGCGGAATGAATTCCTTCATATTTTACTGCTGATTTTGCGTTTAGGGTTCTTATCTCTATGTTAGAGAAACAAACTTTTCCAATTTGTATGAAAAATATATTAAAATAAAATACTTCTTAAGTAATAAACTTGTAATTTATTTTTCAGAAAAAGAAGCTTTGACATGGATTTCTTCATTGGTTCCTGATGCTCAACTTGAAAATACGTCTGGAATGGAAGCAACGCACAAAAAATTAAAAGATGGTGTCATTCTTTGTAAGCTAATAAATGCTCTAGAAAACGATTCCGTTAAAAAGATAAACGACGGAAAAATGGTTTTCAAACAAATGGAAAACATCAGTAACTTCTTAGAAGCATGCAGCAGGTATGGGTTAAGCAAAACTGATCTTTTTCAAACTGTAGATTTGTTTGAAGCGGCAAATATGACACAGGTTATTCAAACTATTCACGCACTTGGAAGAAAAGCAAAATCAAAAGGAGCACCTGGTATTGGACCAAAAGAATCCAATAAAAATGTTCGAGAGTTTACTGAAGATCAGCTTCGAGCTGGCCAAGGGGTAATTGGACTTCAAATGGGATCCAATAAAGGAGCTACGCAAGCAGGTCAAAACTTTGGAAAGACAAGAGCTATACTTGATTAACAACATTTTTTTTTTTTTTTCACGTTTAACAAACTTTTAGAGATTACAAGCAACTATTTAGGAATTAAAAGACATTTTGTATTAAAACAGGACATTAACTATTTGCATTCATTTTTATAATTTATATGTCGACAAAGTAAGTCATAAATTAATGAAATATATTATCAGAGTATAACCTTTCTTACTTGCGCCAATTGATGCTTTTAAAACACTTATTTAAAATGTAAAAAACTGGAAAGGTGTTGAAAAAAAAAAGTACAATTTAAAAACGTTTGTATAAAATTTAATCATAAATAAAATATATAATTTATTTAAAATAGAATTATGTTAATAAAAATAAAATAGATAAGATTTTATATTTTGAAATTATCTGTTACAATGTTATATCCGGAGATATTGTTGGTTTAGCATAGGAACAGCCACAAATAGTTATTATGACTAATCCAAAGTATCCTCCGTTATTGACCAATATTTTTGTGTACAGAAGTACTACTCAAGCGCTGAGTTCGCGGTGACAGGATTTGAACACCGTATCGCTCTAACCTGAGCTAAACTCTAAACTGAGCTATCCAGCCATTGTATCATTTGTTAAAGATTATTCAGCCACTTTATCATTTGTTAAAGATTACAAAATAATTTTTTATAGCATTCTTGATAAACATTTTTAAAATAATTAAAAAAATTATCAAACTCTATAACTTAAGTTTAGAAACATATTTTTATGCTAAAACCCAAAAATACTCTTCAAAAGCTTTTCTAGGAGACAAAATATTATTATGTATTATAATATTATATTATTATAAACTGTACATGATATTATTAACAAGAATTTTTTTTGATAAAAAGTTGCTTCGTGAGGTATTTTACAATTGAAGAGCGTTTTTCAAAAAGTGAGCAAAGTCCATTTTTTCCCAAGTTTGGTTTTATTCATAATCGGATTTTTTTATTTAAAAGTCACTATGTTAGTATAAATAAAAAAATTGTTCAACGTCTTCATTTACGACTACAAAATTATCGATATTAAAAAATTGCTTGGATGATTTTTTTTTTTTTTTTTTTTCAATGCATTAAAAATGTAACTTTTAGAAAAACGAAATTTTTTGCTTAATAGTTATCATATTAAATTTAGAAATTTAAAAACGAATTTCGAATTGATTAGTAATGAATTTTAACAAAGCTGGTACGTCGCTGGAATTTTGGTTCGCGAAAATTCTTATCCCACAAAACAATTTGTGCAAATATTTTTTTCAGTTGAGCTATTTTTGATTTTTTAAAATTTAAGTTATTTTAAGTTAAAATAAATCATAAAAAGTGTAATAGAATTACAAGGGGGGCTTTAATAAAAGGATTAGAAATTTTAGTCTAGATTATTTAATTATTTTAAAAGTAAAAAAATTTAGAATTTTCTTTTTTTTAAACTATTAAGTTCTACCGTGGCTCAGGGCCGACGACACAAGTTTCGAAGTGGGAAGGGGGGGCACAATTATCATTTTCTAAAAAAAGTTCTCTATATCTAGAATTTTCTATAAGAAAATAAAAAAGCCCTATAGAAAATAAGTAGGGGGCTCGTACCCCCCTGTATCGTCGGCCCTGTGACTTGCAATTAAATGTGCATTTTCTGAGGGGATAAGTGGGTTCTAATAAGCCTAGAATGGGTGGTAAAATTTTCCAAAAATTAGTAAACACCTTCCTTGTATTAAGGACTCGAGTGTATATATTTAAGTTTTAGCTTAGCTGTTGTTTTGCTTTGCCAAAAGTTTTCTAATTATCGTAATGTATATGGATACGTATTTAAACGTTTTGATGTATATGGATATTGTATATAGGCAATAATTTTTATGTTCGTCGTTGCAAAAGTGTTTTTCTAGTTTAGAATGCCGACGAAACGATCCGGCTTGTCACTTATTAGTATGGATTATTTTAAGCTTATTTTATATTTATTTATTACAAATTATATTAACTAATCTTAATTTTAGGTTGTAGAATTATTTTTTAGATCTGCTTCGAGTTTCTGGAATATACTTGTACGTCTGCCTCGAGTATGCTAGACATACTTCAGACATGACGTGTTAAGCTTGTTTATAAGGAAGTTTAACTTCCTTATAAACAAGGAAAAATGAGGAGGATAAAAATAAATTTAGGAAAAATGAGGAGGATAAAAAAAAATTTACGCTAAGAGTTATAATAAAACATAGAAACAAGGTTAGCGATTATATATATATATATATATATATATATTTATATATATATATATATATATATATATATATATATATATATATATATATATATATATATATATATATATATATATATATATATATATATATATATATATATATATATATATATATATATATATATATATATATATATATATATATATATATATATATATATATATATATATATATATATATATATATATATATATTATAAGTGTGTTTTATGTTATATGACAATCTGACATAAAACTTATGTGTAACAAAAAATAACAAGTTTTTAAAATAAGTTATTACAAATATATCAAGCCAAAATAAAACCTCCTCACAACCACATCACCAAAAGAGATTACTGTTTTTGGCGATTTAATGCATTCTATATGGAACCCTTCCTTGCATAACCCACATTGAATCATTGGTTTTTGGTTCTAATACTAATTTATATTCTCTTAAAGATATGTCTGGATGCTTTAATCGAAAACAATATGCACAAAATTCTTCCGAAGACTTTGTTTGGAAATCTACGTCAATTGGAAGATATGCTTGCCAACCATACATCAGGTAAAATGATGTGAACTTTGTGGATTTATAGCAAAATGTATTGTACGCAAAAGCACATGCATCTGAAAAAACACTCCATTGTTCCTTTTTAGAGGATACGTATTTGACTAGCATATTCTGCAAAGTCTGACCAAAGCGCTTATAAAGTCCATTTGTCTTAAATCAAAGATAATGCGTTATATGATTTCAGTAATGTAAACCTTACTAATTCAATTATATTATTAGGTTACTTATTTTAATAACTTATAATGAATATAAAAACATATATAAATATAAAACTATATTATTAATGTAAAAAAAAATTCAAGTTTCATATATTACTTTATTTGCCCTATTATATGCCCTATTATGGTGACATTTTTAACGATTTAAAAGAAATACTAACTTTGGAAAGGCTTTTTTCACTTAAAAGAATTAATAGAAGCGGAAAAGCACATTGACCAAAAAATTATTATTATTTTAATGACATTTAAATATTTAAGAGCCATTTTTTGTAAAAATCAGGTAGTCAGTGGAAGCGATTGCCTCCAAATTGCTTAAACTTTTTATATACTGCTCAGAATATAAGAAAAAACCTGTTTAGGAAAAAAAAAATGTCCAAAAATGTTTAATTCGCTCGGAACCCGGTTTTAAAATTATAAGGTTTTTTAAAAAAATTTTGATAAATTAAGTTTTTGTCTAATTTTAGACAAAAAAGGCATTTTTTGTCTAAAATTAGACAAAAAATTTTAGGCATAAAACTTTTTTAGCTAATATTAGACGTAACCCATATGCTCACTCTAAAAATTATGAAAAATTTGCATCAAAGTGTGGGGTTATTATTAAATATTATAGTTCAAATTTATATAATAATATATAGTTCAAAAGTACAAAAACATTCAGTTTCGTCAACTTTGAATGGGAGTTATTTCTAACAGAAAAGAGTTGCACACAATTTTTCTTGCAGGATTTGTAAGTGGGTTAGGTAATCTGTTTAAAAATGCAAAGAAAGTTATGTGATACGATATACTAAAATATGATTATCTGATATGTGATAAGCCTATCCATATGTTAAGGCTTAGAGTTGAAAAGAATATTACAGTATTCTTGCAAAATGACTCATTACTGGAGAGGCGCTGAGTTTTGTGAAAATATAATCCTGTTAAAATGTCAATACAAAATGGTCCTAACATAACTAAAAAAAACTCACGTGATCTGTAAATATTAAGTTATAATGCAAGCTCTTAACAAGTTTTTTTTGTTATTTGAGATAACAAAAAATACTTGTTAAGAGGTTAGATATCATGTCTGTATAGCTTACAGACATAGAGTACATTTATTTATGTTTATGTTTATGTCAAATAAGAAACAGTTTATGTTTATGTCAAATAAGGAAGATTTGCAAAAAGCTGAGATGATAGGAGTCTGGGAACAAATAAATCCCTAAACCCTTTGTCCCCTCCCCTGCTTTTAATGTGAGAGCAATGAGTTTATAAAGTATATATTTTTTACTATTTATAACGAAATTTATATTGATCGACAAATTTTAAATTTCATACAATAATCTCTTAATGTTCGAAAATCATGACTATAAAAAGTTTGAACCCTCCTCAATGAAGGGATTGTAAACTTTACAGGGTCATAAAAATCAAATACTTATTCAAGAAAAAATTTGCGGAAGATGTAGCTCCTGCACAAGAGGAAGTACTTATCGACTTTGTTAACAGTAAAAATGTTGATGAAATCCTCTCCCAGATAAAATTCCACTCCCAGATAAAATTATCAACGCTCAGAAAGTATATAAAGTGATTCCATAAGAAAGATAGTTATCAGAGAGTATATAAAGTGATTCCATAAGAAAGATAGTTATCTTCTCATTCATAAGAAATCTTATCATTATTAGATCATTCCAAGTATATCAAAAAAATTTATGATAAATGTTTGTATAAAACATCATATAGAAATAGCTAGAAAATGACAATTATCTAAGGAAGGGTTGGTAACTCTATAAAAGAAAGTGTTTTCGTTCTAGACTTGATTAAATAAAGTGAGTGTGAACATTTCTTAGATTTTGTATTCTTAAGTGGTATTGGATGATGTTGCTTTTGGAATAACCAAATTGAAACACGGCAGCAGTGAAAAGCAAAAAATAGCTTGTGCAATATTTAAAAATTATTTTCAAAGTTCGGTCTTGCTAATATGTTCTATCAAGATGGTAATTCCATTTATGACGTGGCAATTGATATAAAGGATGTGTTTAACTATATAAAACACCTGATAAAGATTCTCATCAGAAAAAGGCAAAGATTAAAGCTTCTGAGCAATTTAACGATAAAACTGCATTCCAGCCTGAAAATATTGATCAAAAAACTTTTCTAGTTTGATAGAAAGAGGGTCAAAGAGAGTATTTTGGCAAGAATGGAATGAGTTTACATGTGGATATATTATTCATGAAAAGCACTTTTACTTTACTTCTTGTATAGATGTTATCAGGGAATAGATGATGTTGTTTCATTAGCCACTACAATATTATGCCAATTCAAAATCAATCAAACACATAACAATACAACTGCTTTCAGGGAAATCCTTTGACTGAAGTAATGTACAATGTATGCAAAGAGAGAGCTGTAGAATTGCTAAAAAATGTATACAGTAAACCTTATTATTTTTAATGAGAATGTAAACAAATCATAAATTTTAGGCTATATTGTTTTGAAAACCTTGCTAATACTTTTAAGTATCTATATCTAGGATCAGAATTAATTGTGCGAATAACCGGTAAAAGCGAGTTTCCACTCATCCGTTTTTTCACGGGAACGGGAAAGGGACGGGAAAAATAATCACGTGGGCTTGCGTAGTATAAGTTTTAATATGTCCGAAGAAAAACTACGCATGCTCACGTGATTATTTTTCCCATTCCTGTCCCGTTCCCGTGAAAAAACGGATGAGTGGAAACTCACTTTAAGATAAAAAACTGGTCAGCGAAAAAAACACTTTTTGCTGACCATTTTCGTCTGAGGAGACTACTAAACTGAAAACATAATCTGTTTAGTTTATACTCCTTTTCTAATAAATGGTTGAGGCAATTATTCATTATCCAAAAAAGACTATAATACAGTCACATCACTATTCTTAAAAAAAACTTACTGCATCCGAGTAGAGAAGATGTGTGATGTGGTGGATAACTTGTTTGATGGTTTTAAACAACTATAGTTATAAATGAACATTTTAATTAGTTAATTCTTTTTTCATTTATGCATCATTTATTAACAATATAGTTTTCTTGCTGTTCATTATTGTCCAATTTTCAATTCATTTTTTATCATGTGTGTGATAAAATTACACGAGTTTTTTTATAATTATAATAGAACCATAATCTATAGACATTGAAACGAGATTATTTTTTTAAAACAAGACTAAAGCCAGTTGTATCTATTTATATTTAACAAATTAAAAAATGTCTTCGCAATCTCTTGTTATAAGATACATCGACAATTATCATAATCAATGTATCTTATAACAAGATATAGTTGTTCAACATTAGAACAATTAGTGGCTTCGTCGTACAATATAGAAAAATAAGCAGAATATAACCTTTATATATGTGCGTCCGTGGCGCAGTGATTAGAGTGCTTGCTTTAGAAGCTGGAGATCCAGGTTCGAAACGAGCTCTGGACATATTTTCGCGTTACGGTAAGGAAAGAGGCATGAATTTCCTGGTTAAATGCACATCCGCGGTGCTCTGTGACAAAACCGATAGGTCTTCTTGGGGTAGCTTAATAACAACAACAATATTATATATATATATATATATATATATATATATATATATATATATATATATATATATATATATATATATATATATATATATATATATATATATATATATATATATATATATATATATATATATATATATATATATATATATATATATATATATATATATAGGCTCGGTCTATTTTCGCGTTACGGTAAGGAAAGAGGCATGAATTTCCTGGTTAAATGCACATCCGCGGTGCTCTGTGACAAAACCGATAGGTCTTCTTGGGGTAGCTTAATAACAACAACAATATTATATATATATATATATATATATATATATATATATATATATATATATATATATATATATATATATATATATATATAGGCTCGGTCTGCAGGGTCGGAATTATGAGGGGGATTGAAGGGTTTCTCCCCCGGACCACTGCTATGTTTAGGTCCGTCTCTATCTCTAGGCGTCTAAAAGAGGTACCTAAAAAAAAAGTCCTTGATATGTAATATAAGGAAAATTTTATATATAAGATGGCCCTGCATCTATGTCTCCCCGGGCCCCTAAATCCCAGTCCGGTCTTGTTGGCCAGAAAAGTGTGTGATTTCAACTCTTTATATGACCTCGCAAATAATATTTTGTTTGATGAACCACGGTTTTCAACGAATGCGCCGAAATAATTAGTTTTTAATCCTGTTGAAAATAAATAACTTCGACACGTTTATCTTTACTAACGTTTTTATATTAGCAAAACGCTTTTAATAAAGTAGCTAAAGCAGTGAAGGTCCCTTTAATAAACTTTATGTAAGAATCGTTAAAGTTTTTGTTGAGAAGAAAAAAGGGAATCTTTTTTGAAAGCCATTTGAATTAAATTACTTTGATCTTTACTTACGTTTTTATATTATTGAAACGCATTTAAATAAAGTAACAAATCACTGCTAATGATTTTTTATTAAAACAATAATGAATATAATATATTTTGTTTATATTATTAGGTTCATTTTTGAAAACACTATTTTTCGAAAGTTTTTGATTAAATCGATAACGATAAAAAACTTTTTTTCGGATTTCGTAAAAAGTTTCGAAAATTATCGAATAGCTAAAATAATTTTGAAAACTTTAATTTAATTTTGAAAACTCTTTTTAACTTCGAAAGTATATATATATATATATATATATATATATATATATATATATATATATATATATATATATATATATATATATATATATATATATATATATATATATATATATATATATATATATATATATATATATATATATATATATATATATATATATATATATATATATATATATATATATATATATATATATATATATACTAAATTAATTTCGAAATTTAAATTGCACTTCAAAAAAAAAAATAATAAGT